TTGTTCGTTGTTTTTCGAGAAACACCTGTGCCTTCCATTCGTTTTCTGTCAATTTCGTTAAGTGCCCATGAGCAATTGCGTATCTATTCTTCTTCTCCACCGCTGTAGGGGACTACTGCATAACTTCGGTTCCCTCATGTAGGACAAGCACACATGATGTTCTTTTCCAACGCTTTTTGATTTTTTGACAAGGGTGCAATTAGGGACAAACTGAAATTCAAATACAGTATGAATCGTGTAACGAAAGCACTGCATATTAAATATTAGTCATCAAAATATGATGTACATCAGTAGATCGTTGCATAGCGGAAATGTTGCGCGCATAAGTAGTACTGGTGAACCTTGCGATCGGTGCGGATAAGATATGTATACTACGACTGCGATAAACATGAGGAGGACGGGGAAAAACGAAGCATAGGATTCCAGACCGTGTAGAAAATAGAGTTGAAGGAAACTTCTAAAATAATTGTCCCTCACACTCAAAACATCAGCTGATATTGAGAGTAAGTGAAGGAATGTAAGGAATTTTAAAAATGTAGCGAAAACCTGAACTTTTTAAAGTATTATAAAACTACAGTCCCAGGTCAAAGCCTTATTTATACATGCTAAATTAGGATAATACTTACCCTGAATTATGCAGTCAGCTGTCAGGTAGACCGAGTCTCCCTGATGAGTAGAGTTGACAGCCATCGTGTTCCTGAAGTTATTTTCTTGTAATGATGATCATCACTTAAGCATTAAGCCAGTGAATTGGGAATGTGATGACTTTTTCAACTTTGCAAATTTGCCCTTTGTTAGGCTCGACATTTTTGGTTCCCAATGAGCAGATTTGAAATATAGTAACAGCTATTGCTTATTTACAAGAGTTTGTCTGATGGGGACCAGCCCTTTTCCTGAAACTTCACATTTACTTAGGTTATTGGTGCAAAGTGTTAATTTCATTTGATAATCATCATGCGCAGACGCCAGCACTGCCGAATATGTTTCGTTTTTGGTCCTTATGATGGTCAAACGTTCATCTCCATACTGCAGAGCAACGCTGACCCATAATTCCGATATTCCTTCTGTGGGGTCTTCTAGGGCTATTTCTCAGTTGGTGAAGTCTTGCGGAAGTGAGGTTTACCAAGTTGGCCTTTTTTATGTCTTTTTTGCTAGTCTCTATGAAGATGATATTTGATTGCTGCAAATAGAGGTTCTGATTTATGGCAAGTTGAAGATAAGGTATAAAAGCCTGAACTCTCGTCCTTTGTCCATTCCCGGACAGAATACATGTTGGAAGGCATTTCAGACCAAGGATCGTAACTATGTCAGGTTTAGACTTCAGCAATTGCTGGCTGATTTTCATCCAATGGAGTTAAATACAAATTTGGCTGTGTTCGTTCTGAATATGATTACTATGATGAGTATGTGCTTAGAGCTTGGAAATTGAAGTACGAATGAAATCGATTTTTGGATGACAGTCATAATACATAGATCTTTAATTTGCATAGATAATAATTAATAATATATAATACATAGATAATTGTCAATAATGTACGATAAAGTAATCGTTTGAAAAGGTCATTGAAATGCATGACACCACACCAGACTCAATTTGTTGCAGTACTTGGGAGCACTTTAAACACGTTTACTGGCTGTGTCTGAACTTAATGATTAAGTTGCGCACTTAAGGATAAAACGCGAATAAATGCCTGGATCATTCAACAACTGCTTTAAACTCCTGCGAGTTAAATTGATGTAAAAAATGAGTCGAAAATTGGTTCAAATCCCTGCGTACCTACCCTCACTTTTGATGAATGCAGTCAGAATGACGCAAGAGAGACTTATATACTGAGTTCTCACGGCAAGGTCTCATTGGAGCACCATTCATAACGCATAACGCACTAAGGGAAAACAGAATGCCAGATTACTCAGTTATGTTAAAGACGTGGCACTCTCGGGCCCTGGACTCCGGGCAATTCTGTTGAGGTTTACTCGACTAGGAAATTAATCGTTGAAAGTCCTTCTGAATTTTTTATTATGTGACTCAGGCGGAATAATGGTACTGAAAAGAGGCTGATTGAATGGTTAACTGAATAAATGAATGAACGATGTCTTAATAATAGAATGGTGTCTTAAGCCTTTGATCCAGACGAGTCAATCTATCGAGAAAAAAAGTTGTATTAGCATATCTATATGCCACTACATTTTCAATATGTTTATTCAATAATAAATGTCACGAAGGCTTCAAGAAATTGCTCACAGAGGTTTTAATGAGAGCACATGAATCTACAGATCAAACAAAATAAAAGTCCAAAACATGACGAAGAATCACATCTTAAAGTTTTCTGTTTAGCTTATACTGGTCTTTCAGCCAAAGCATATTGAGCATTCGATACCAAGGGAAAGGTTAACCCTTGAAAAGAAA